GGACTGAGGCCACCGGTGTGCTAAAAACTCACTCGTGGAGGAGGAGTATGAGTGGGAACCCTTTTGAGCCCCAGGTATGGGGTGCTGCTACCATCACTGGAAGGACTTGTGTCCTAAGCAGTTGTCACTGACCCTTGCTAGCTTACCCTAGGTCACAATACAATAAAAAATAAATTAAAAATAAAAGGAGGGGAATATTCTTTTCATGCTATTTTAAATCATCTCATTTAATGACTTTAGATAAATTTCAGAAAATTTTGTTATTGTGTGATACAGCACAATTATCCAATAACATACAATATTAAAATACATACATAGACTTTTTATACATATGTATATGTATATGAAAAGTGTACATATACATATCTATTAAAGGTATGTATATTATGTATACACACATTTATGTATATATAATATATATGAAAGTTGGACATGTTCATTTTCTCCCCATCCTTCCCTTCTCTAAGGAATAAGTATGTTTCATTGGAGATGAGAAATGGCTAACTATAAAAAATGATCAGTGGAGAAAGACCATCTGAAAAGATAGTAACTTAGCTGACTAATGAGCATTACGATTAACATATTCTACACATCTATCAATACCAAGGCTCAGTATGCCTCTGCTCCTCTCCAAAATTAATAACGGCAGGTACCAGGACCCTGTTAATATTTGAATAGTCTAATAGACACAGGCAAGCACGCAGCAGAGAAGAATGTAAATCAGTGCTCAGGGGCGCCTTCCTCCGCCTGTCTGTTGGTCAGCAGTTTTCCTCAGGGTCTTCTCCAGCCTCAGCTCTAAGGGAGTATTTCTCTTCCCCCTCTCACTGCTGAGGCTAGTTGAGTCCTATTCTCTTGGTTTTTAAGTCACTCTGTATAAAGTGTATTTACTGGGTCCCGTGGATTTGCAGATGTGCTCTACCTAAGTGTACATAGGCACCTTGATGACTGAGTCTGTACTGTTTGTTTTTGTATAGCTGACACATGGTAGGCACTAATGAGACATTTGCTGAACAATGTTCTCTTTGGTTAGCATGCAGCAAAGGATTTGAAGTCAGAGGGAGCTTTTGATGTGAAAAAAGGAAGTGCTTGAATTTTCTTGTGTGTCTCAAGACACAGAAAGTTGCTTATGTTTCATAAATGTGAGCCCATGCCTTGGCTGGGTGATGAAAAGGGAATGGGACAGTCACGATGGCAGAGAACAGTGAAGTATGACCAGTGCACAGGTCCCACTATTGTAGCTACAGCTTTGTCATAGGACCTGGCCATATTTCTGGGACTTAGTCTTTTTAGACCTTTCCCCTCTCCCTTCATTCCATTAAATAGACAAGAAGAGGTAATCTTACATGAATTCCAGACCATCCAAGCTTTGAAACCCTTTTCATGGCTTAATCTTCCTCTTTTTTTTTAGCACAAAAAGCCGAAGACTGATAGCCCCTTCTAAAGGTCTCGTGCAGCCCTGTACTCTGTTTCAGCTTGGGGGTCTCTGGGTACTTTTTCTTTGCTTTTTCCCTTCATATTTATTTCTGTCTCTCTTCAGTCCTCTAGAGTTTGCCTTGTGCTGCAGAGAGCTGTGAACATAGGATGGTGTTCGTTGGTGTTCCCGTTCCTCCCCAGGGGTCCTTGCTCACCTCTCCAACGCTCCTGGTGTTCACTGTGTCACCACTCAGAATTCTCGGCCCCTCTCCTGCCACCCCTTACCAGCAACTGGTCTACCAGAACTTTGAAAGCCTTTTGCCCTAATTCCACTTCCTGTCGCTGTAAAGTCTGAGGTCTTTTCGCCACAGGATTATGTTGCCCCGTCCCTGCTCTCGTGGCCCGCTTCCACCTTTAATATGACAGTAGTGCTGAGTAGTGCTCTTCGAATGCATATCGTGTGTCTGTGCTGCTCCAGGCATTTTCTCACACCATCGCCAAGTCTTGGCACTGTTCCCAAAAAGGTGCTGCCTTAGCTTTACAGAGGAGGAAGCGTCCTCGGATGGCCTAAACAACTTGTCCAGATTGTCCAAGATCAGACCTGATGCAGTGTCCAGTGTAGCAAGATACATGGCAGCCTTTGCACTCAGTCAGTTCCTTGTTGTTTTGTTCACATCAGCATTTTGTCCCAGAGACAATATCATATTTCCATGTGACAAACACGTCGCCGCCATCTTTACACTTACCTCTTCATTGTTAAGTTATTCTATATGATTTGTTCGCGTTCACACAAACATAAACTCCTAGAATAACGTGCTTTCAGTCCTCATTCTAGCATGCTGACTCTACAGCATTTTTGTTTAGTCTTTCATATTGTCATTTGAATTATTAAGTAATTTTCATCAGATTGGTTTATCATAATTATATAGGTTTAATTTTTGTTGCTACCTCGGAGCATTTAGAATATTTTCATTTTGTGCTGAGATAAATTGTAATATATATGTGCCCTTTGAAGATAGATGGCAATATGTTGGCTTTCACAAAAAATTTTTAATTTTCAGAGGACTCCTTTGTATCCATTCCTATTCAACTAACAACCAACATTTTTCACACATTGTTTTAGCTAATCTCCCTTTATTCTTGAGAATATTAAAGAAATTTTCAAGTGTCTTATCATTAACAACTAAATACCTCTGGATCCACTTTTTAATGCTTAAAGGTCTTCTCTAAGGTCATCCAAAGCTTTGTAACTGCCATCTGAAGTCCAAGTGTAAATTTTCATGATAGCAATGGATAACTTACTACAGTTGGTTTGTGTGAATGCAGGTCCCAAGTGTGGCCCACACCCTGCAGATGGTCATTAGGTTGTTAACATGTATCATTCTGAAGGGTAAATAACACACGGAGACTCCCATGCTCCAGCCTCAGGGGTGCTGAGACTGCAGGTGTCTGCCACCCCGTTTACAAACATGTAATCCCGTCAGCTTGTTAGACAGAAAGTGGTCCTGGGCAGCGTCTTCACACTGACGGTCTCCTCCAGGTGCACTATAACGTCCCTAACCACTGTCTTTGTTTAAATTCTAGCTAAATATAATGGGTTTAATATGATTATAGCTCACTTTTTTAAATAGAGAGACTGGGTAAACTTTTTTCAAGCTAGGGTTAAGCTTAGCATTGTTCTCAGCACATTTAACTGAAGCATATGCTTTTCTTCTTTATTCCCCTAAAACAAGACACCTGGTTATAGAATAAGCGTCAGTGTTGAGGAGCCCGGACAGTGTTAAGAGGGACACAAGTAGAGGCGACTCATGATACAAGCTTTGAAGAAAGAACAGTTATGAAGTGCTTTATTTAACAGGGAACCAAATTCAAATATCAGAATTTTTCTCTTTTATCCCATGGGTCAGGCTGTGAACTGGAGACATTGAATATAACTTTGAACTGTAACTATATCGTTTCTTCTTTCTTTATCATCTGATTGCTCATTTGCTTTGTTTATTGTGTAGTATAGGTAGCATCACAGTAAGTTATTCATAGAAGCAGAGGATCTGAAATGCAGAAGAGGATGGTTACTATTAAACTTTCTTACCCAGTGTCTTAGTTTACAGTTACTTTTGGACCCTAAATATTTGCCCAACTTAAGCTTGAATGTTAACCGTTTTTCTTTATTTCTCTTAAGAAATGGCTTTGTCATCAGGGAAATGCAAATCAAAACGACCCTGAGATTTCACCTTACACCCATCAGAATGGCCAAGATCAAAACCTCAAGTGACAACACATGCTGGAGAGGTTGTGGAGAAAGGGGAACCCTCCTCCACTGCTGGTGGGAATGTAAACTGGTACAACCACTCTGGAAATCAATCTGGTGCTTTCTCAGACAACAAGGAATAGCGCTTCCTCAAGATCCAGCCATACCACTCCTAGGCATATATCCAAAAGAGGCTCAAGTACACAATAAGAACATTTGCTCAACCATGTTTGTAGCAGCTTTATTTGTAATAGCCAGAAGCTGGAAACAACCCAGATGCCCCTCAGCTGAAGAATGGATACAGAAATTGTGGTACATTTACACAATGGAATACTACTCAGCAATGAAAAACAAGGAAATCATGAAATTTGCAGGTAAATGGTGGGATCTGGAAAGGATCATCCTGAGTGAGCTGTCCCAGAAGCAGAAAGACACACACGGTATATATTCACTCATATAGACATATAATATAGGATAAGCCTACTAAAATCTGTACACCTAAAGAAACTAATCAGGAGGGAGGACTCTGTTCAATTCCCATTCCAAAAGGCAAAGAAGATGGACACCAGAGGAAGAAGAAAACAGGAAAGAAGTTAGGAGCCTCCCACAGAGGGCCTCTGAAAGGCTCTGCCCTGCAGACTATCAAAGCAGATGTTGAGACTTATGGCCAAACTTGGGCAGAATGCAGGGAATTTTATGAAAGAAGTGGGAAATAATAGTAAGAGCTGGGGAGTACAGGAAGTCCACAAGGAGAGCAGCAGAACCAAAACATTTGAGCACAGGGGTCTTTCCTGAGACTCATACTCCAACCAAGTACCATACATGGAGATAACCTAGAACCCCTGCACAAATATAGCCATGGCAGTTCAGTGTCCAAGTGGGTTCTATAGTAATGGGAACAGGGACTGCTTCTGACATGAACTGATTGGCCTGCTTTTTGATCACCTCCCTCTGAGGGGGGAGCAGCCTTACCAGGCCACAGAGGAAGACAATGCAGCCACTCCTGATGAGACCTAACAGATTAGGATCAGAAGGAAGAAAAAGAAACTCTCCCCTACCAGTGGACTTGGAGAGGGGAGTGTGTGGAGAAGGGGGAGGAAGGAACGGGTTGGGAGGGGAGGAGGGAGGGAACTAGAGGGGGGATACAAAGTAAATAAAGTATAATTAAAAATTTAAAAAAGAATAAAGGAATTGGAAAGAAAAAAAAGAAATGGCTTTGCTATATTTTCACTATTACTGAGAATGCCTCTCTCCCTTCTCCCTCCCTCTCTCCCTTCCTTCTTCCCTCCTTTTCTGCCCCCTCCCATTCACATCTCCAGATGGCTCATTAGACCTGAAAAGCAATTCTCTTTACTTTAAAATATCTGCAAGTGTTTGGATTGATACTGGTAAGTTACATCTTTTTCCAGTACTCCTTCATTGGCCTTATGGTACGTTGATAATCTCTGCTTTGATAATCCTCTAACATTTTTATGATGATTGTGTGTGCAGGAGTGATAGGACTTCAGAGAACATGTGTGTGCAGTGTTGATGTACTACTGCAAATGGGAGGAGAGGAGAGGACAGCATCATGGTGTTGGCGGGGTTTTTTGTTTGTTTGTTTGTTGTTGTTTTAAATTTGGAACAATAAAGAGAAAAGTGAAATTGAAAAGAGGATGTTGCTTAGGTTGGTACAGAAAACTACAGTGGTTTTAAAGAGCCTTTAAATGTTTTTGTTCTATATTTCTTAGTGGTAGAAAAGCCCAAGGTGCAAGCATACTGAGTTATTACACTGCCAGGCTCCTTTGTATTTTTATTTTATTCTTGGTGGAACTGAAGCCTTTGAGTTGTTGGCTTTGTTTGCTTGTTTGTTTTTCTACGTCAAATGGATACTTAGTTCCTAACCTGTTTTATCCCTTACCACCAATTCCTTTTTGGTAAATTTAGTAATTTTATAGGAATAATGAACATTTAATGTAGGAATGGTTAAACTAATTTTCATTTGCATTTCTAACCTTTCTGTCATGGACTGTATTTTCATTTTGTAATGAATCTTAGTTTAACATTGCCACAATACTATTTTTTTGTGTAAATTCTAAAAAGTCATCATTTAAGGCCTTAGAACATCATACCAGAGAATGAATTATATTGCTGTCCATTCTAAAATGCACGAAAAGGATCTGAATTATGTGATTTTTCTCTGAGTTCTCTCTGTCACTCTCAACACATACACTCACATTCGCACACAAACACACACACACACACACACACATACACATTCACACATATATTGTAGCAAGGGCAGAAATTAAATATAAGTGAATAAAGTTAGCAGTTCTTCCTAAGATCAGTCATGAACTATGATTCTCAGCCCCAGTATATGGAAACTATAAGTTCCTAAAATTGTGAATCTCTCTGAGTTGAGACATAGCACAGGCCCAGTCCTTAGAAGAGGAGATAATCTCATTTTTCTATTTGCTTATTAAGATTTTGTCCTTTTCAATATCTTCCTTTAACAAAGAGTGTTTCTGCTTTGTTTGAGGTAAGATCTTCTCTGTAACCCATGCTGGCTGGTAATTACCCAGGATGACTGTAAACTCGTGGTCCTCCTGCCTCTTCCTCCCAAATGTAATTACAGGAATAATTTTATCTGCTTCATGAACTGAGTTCTTACCTTTGTGTGAAGTTCTGCCTCTGGGAATAATTATTATGTGGTCCATGGACATATTTTATCTTTGTTATATCATATCAAAGTATATCTAATAGTCTTTCCTTGTTAATATTTGTAATTTGTAAGCTGTGGGATCCTAAGCAGTGTCGAGTTTATATTCGCTTCTTCCTATTGAGTAGCAGTTCTGGCTTTTAAGCAAACAAGAGAATACATTTTTCTCTATTTGAATGTAGTTAAAATATAAAACCTTGACTATCCAATATGAATCATAGTACTGCTTAGACTAATCTATTATTTGAGTATATCAAAAGCTACATGAATTAATCTTAATCATTTCTATTCTTTTAAAAAATATCAACAGTTAAAAATTGCATATCTTAAAAAATTGCATATCTTATTATTAAAAATGGTTTTGAGCTGAGATGTAATCTCCCAAATGAAGGAATAAAAACAAGAACAAGATAAGGCAGAGAACCATTTTTCTTCCTAAAAATTTGAAATAAATTGAGATCAAGAAATATAACACATTATTAAATAAATCAGAGGTCTTATGACATCTCTAATATTTTATGACGGGTTTTTGACTTGATTTATGTATTTAAAATAGCTAGCAAGGTATTCTTTAAATGCTAAAACATAAATTACAAATGGAAAGCCTTGATTTATGGTGATGGCGGGTAATGTGAGGGATGTGGCAAGTAATTGCTGGGTTTTGCAGTACTCCCTGGATGGGGCAACAGCCACAGTGCACGAGGGAGTGCAGCCGTAGGCTCCATTTGTTGACTTACAGGTGCAGGCTGTCCCCCAGGAAGTGACAGAGCCCTCATAGGAACTCTGACTTCTGTTTCAGATGTCTCCAGATTTTAGTGAAAGCTGCTGGGCAGGTCCTAGTCACTCCCTGTCTCCATGGCAGATCAGATGCGTGCAGATGTCTGCAGGGAGAGGATAGACCATGGAACAGATTGTCTTTGTAGGTAAATCTCAGGTCTTTGTTATTTCCCAATACATCTCATGGCCATTAAGGTATCACTGCTCCATATTTTCATGTTCCAGCCCGAGGATGTTTAGTTCATCTCGTGTCCTGTATCCATCTTCCTGATCCAATTGCACAATTGTGTGCCCTCTTCTGACCCTTCAGGTCTCACCTGCCTCACAACTGCCTCGGAGAATCCTTTCTCGATCTCCTTACCTACCCTTCTACCCATTGCCCTGTTTATTTCTTAACACTTTTAAAACAATTCTTTCTTAGTGCTTTCGCATCTCATCATTTGCGTCCACAACACATTTCCTGTGCATGGAAAATCCACTTTATTAATTACAATAGTAGTGCACTTAATGGCAAATAGTAAGCACTTTAGAAAATTATTAGGTAAATGAATAAATATCTATAAGATTGCATTTGAAAAAAAAAACACCTGAATTTTTAAAAGCATAAGAAGCATTGCTTTAAGTCAGTGGGTCTCAACCTTTCTTAATGCTGCAACCCCTTAATACAGTTCTTCATGTTGTGGTGACTCCCAACCATAAGATTATTTTCATTGCTATTCATAACTGTAGTTTTGCTGCTGTTATTAATCATATTGAAAATATCTGAATTGCACATGGACTTAGGCGACCTGTGTAAAAGGGTCAGTGAACCCCATAGGGGTCGTAGCCCACAGGTTGAGAACCACTGCTTTAAATGACCATGTCCATAAGCCCAAGAGATATCTTTACAGATGTCTGCCTGCTTTCTCATTCTAATAAGCTCCTTGTGATGGTTCAGTAAGCAGGCTGTAGGAGTCTGCACCGAGAACTCAGAATTATGGCCAAGCTCTTCTCACAGAGGAACTCAGTCTGCCTTTGTCTGCAGGTGACACTCTACAGACACACACCATTGATGCAAACCAAGAACACTGTGGCTCCCGGAACCCCGCCTGAGCCTACACCTCTTCCATTGCTGCTCAGATAATCATGTTGGCAGGTAGGCTTCTAAGTGTAAGGCTTTACAGTGACTACCTTAAGTAACACGAATTTATATTAAAAAGCAAACAAACCAGTTATAAGTATTAGAGACTTTTTGTAGCAATGAATTGTGGCTACAGTTAATAAAGACGCTGTCTTTACTGAGACAGTGTTATAGTATTGTTTTGAATTTATGTTTTAGCATTGGTCTCAGACTTCTGGGGAGCATTTTATGTTTATGTAACTTCTAGGGAAGAACACAGGGCATGTAGTTGAGAGTCTAAAGGACAATGTGGGAGAAGAATGCTTGGCACTATTGCAGCAGAGCCTTTACTGATACTAGATAGGTATTGTTTCGGAATGAGTAACATAATTATCAATGTTTAAACTGAACCATGTAAACGCCTCACACTTACAATGCAGTTTCATTCAGTTAAAACTAATTTGTTAATATTTTCTACCATTCATCTAAAATGCACTTGGAAATAATTTCTAAACTCGAAAGGAAAGTAATATTACAATGAATCTTTTGTGTCTCTTTTAGTCTTTTTTTCTAAAGACAAGTCAATCGGTCGATTATGTCACCATGCTGACATAGCAGGAGTCTGTATTGACATGTGTGTTGTCTGGAGAACACTGGCACACTTCAGGATAGGTCTCACCCCTGGGAGTTACCCCCTCCTTGGAAGAACAGCACACATATAGGAAATAAAGCTGCCGCTGTATGCTCTGTTGATTTGGTCCTGCTGTATCTACATGCTGTACAGATATGCATACACATTTATTTCTAGAACAACAGTTGCCAGTACACCAGGAGGTCTAGCCCATATACCTTTCCCTTGGTCTTATACAGTCACACGTATTCACTAAACTAAGGCATTGCCACTGGTACATAATAAAAAAAGCTACACGTCTTTTACAGATTTCATGAGCATTTAAGCAACAGGTATCTTTCTGTTCCAGGGCCTAATATTTTAGTTAGCATATATGTGTTTAATAAGGGATAAAATACAGAAGAAACATGCAAAGAATTTTATGAGTACTCAGGCATAAATACTGTTAACATTTAGTGTCTTCTGTTCCTAGCCCATGTACATTGACAAACACATCTTTAGAGAAGTCTTGACACTTATTTTTGGATATTTGTGTGTGTGTGTGTGTGTGTGTGTGTCAGGATCTAACTGTGTAGCCTACTGTGCTGGCCTAGAACTTGGGTCCTCTTGCCTCAGCCGCCCAAGCGTTGGAATTATAGGAGTGTGCTATCACATCTAGCCACCCACCTGTTTTTGTACTCTCTTCTCTCAACACATGGACTCCAGGAATGGACTTAGATCATCAAAGATAGTGGCAAATATACTTACTCACTGAGCCATCTCACCATCCCTCTGTTTTTATCATTTAGCAAATCACAAATGCCACCTTCTGTAGTTTTAGTTCAAACATTTTTATGTTTCAACATTTGAATGTTTCAACATTCAAACACTTTTATGTGTGCAGTTTTTAAAAATACGGATATTTTGGTTAACGTTACTCATTCATTGTTCATTTCAATTTTTCTTTCTTAAAAATGATACCCTGATGATTATACATGTGAGGTTTGGGTAATGTCCATATTTTTACAGATCAAAAAGAATGATCACGTGAGAACGCAGGGATTTCCCCCCCATTTGTTTTGTTTTATTTTACAACTCAAGACTAATCTATTTAAACTAAACTGACACCCGTGAGGTTGAAAATGGACCTCTCTGCTGTGGTCGACCTGTTTCCCTGAGGGAAGGAAAGCACTGTGCGGCCTTTAGCCTGAGGCAGCACAACGGGAATTGTTAGCATGCGCATAGGCCCAGGCTTCACAGAGGCAGTCCAAGTGAGCTCTCAGAAGCTTATCACAGCTGATATGTTTCGATGTGTGACTAGGGGTAGCTTTGCTTGGATATTTCCTATGATTAGCCATTTAGAGCTTTTCTATTTCTTGGTCACTAAATAGTAAGTTTTCTTACTAGACAACAGTCATAGCACCAGAAAAAAGGACCCTGATTAATCGTTCCTAACTTTCAGTACAGATAGTCTTTTTACTCCTAAGGTCCTATAGTGTTGAGACCTCTTAAGCTGTAATTAGAGGACAGTCTTGTCACACATGAGGCAGAATAGAGGCAAGGAAACATCTTGGGATGCCTGCCACCACCACCCTCATCCCATGCCCAACCTATCTCCACCTCATCCCCTACCCAAGCCACAGGCTACAGTGGCTGGACATTGCAAGCTCCCTCTTGGTATAAGGGCAACCCCACCTGGACTGGTTTAGAGAGTGGGCAAGTATGGCTTCTGGAGTTAAGCAGGCTTGACACATCTGAATTCAGTACCAACTAGGAATTCTCTGACATTTCGTAACTGAGGCTCCTTAGCCTGAGCTTTCTCAACAGTAAATGTAAGACCTCTATAGAGGAGGATCTGTCATTTGACTGACATGTAAAACAGAGGAGGACTTTGCAGCCAGTCCTGAATATACCTGATAAACCAGTATCAGATGAAAGGGGAGGAGGTCCTCCTCTATCAGTAGACTTGGAAAGGGGCAAGAAGGAGATGAGGGAGGGAGGGTGGGATTGGGAGGGAATGAGGAGGGGGATACAGCTGGTATAGAAAGTTAATAAACTGTAACTAATATTAAAAAAAAAATGTCCAGCATGGTATCTGGCATACAGTGCACAACTGGATGAAAGGTTATTCAATGACGGGATGGGTGAATGTGCTTTTTAGCTGTTTGAACACTCTACATTTTAAATAGTTCTGTGGCTTTTTGAGATAGAAGACATAATAAATATATAAGAAGTGAACTAAATATTCATTTAATTCTCCCTCTCAGGGTTGCAGACAAGATAAACAAACTCTGGCTAGAATTTATTGGATGAACAGTCAGATCCAGAAATTTAGGAGTTGGAGCAGCAAGCAGTATGATGCTACAAGCCGTGATCTCCAGGGGCCTCAGAAGTGGAGTATTATGGACCTTTCCTCTGGAATGTTGATGCCTTTATTTCTCATGACCTGTCATTGATTGCCCAGATGACAGGGCTGTGTCCTTCAACACAGACAGTGATTCTATTACTTCTCCATCAGGGGCACCTCACAGGGCGAAGGAAATGTTGGGGGACTAATGTATTTTTAAACTTTTTAAATCTGTGTATTTTATTTGTAATTTTATATAGTATAGAGAAACCAACTGTAGAAACAACAGATGTTATTAATTGATAAGCTATTACCATAAAAGAGAAACGTGGAAAATATTCATGTGTTGGGCTGGCCACCATCAGTGGCAGAATGAACTATAATGTGGAATTGTGAGCTAGAATAAAGCCTTTCTTCTTTATGTCACTATTTGTTGGTGCATTTAATCACTGTGACAGAAATGAAACTAGGACAGCAGATAATTACTTAAGTTGGGTCAATCAAACTAAAGTTTAGGACTTTTATTTGGTAAAAAGGCAGAAGACTTTCTCCTCTTATTAAATTGCAGCCCCAAAAAGTAGGAGGGTGCCAGTGCAATGGAAAAATAGAGGCAAGAGGTAGATAGAAAGTTAATTCTTGGTGTTGCTGGATCACATCTTGCTTCAAGCCTTCCTACAACTGATCTTTTGAGTTATGTAAGTCAATCTATTCTTTTTTATTATTTAACCAAACTTGAATTAGCTTTTTCCAATTACTTGTTTTTAAGTACTTTCTAACTACCCATCTGTGAAATTCTTTGTACAGGATCATAAAATAGTGATTAAATGGAATTTAGCACCCACTTCCCTCCTTTGATACTGATTTCTCATCGTGAGAGAATCTATCTTTCCCCAGCCGTGCATGTTAGGTGTTGTTTGTTTGTTTGTTTGTTTGTTTGTTTTTTAGCTTGGTTAATGTGATAGGTCTGTCATCAGGATTCTGACAGAATTAGGTTTTAAGTTTGTGGGACTGCTTGGCGCTGACCTTCAGGGTGATGAGTATCATCCCACGGGTGTACTGGGAGAAGATCTTGAAGACTTTGCTGCTCGCCTTGACTGTTCTCTCAGAATAGTTCCTTTTCCTAGTTTCATTGATTTCTCTCACAGTCAGCTCTAGTCACACCTGATCGTTAACACTTGACATCTTAGTGCTGGTCACACCCTTTGGCTCAGTGGAGGCCATGTTGGCCGACACAGTGCTTAGCATATAACATGTTGACTTTAAATGTGAGGAGCCCATGGAAGTCTGATTTTGACATTGAGCAGCAGAAGATGCCACTGGAGGCTCATATTTTTACTAGTTTTGTTTCACCCCTGTCTTAGCCAATTTGCTATTTAGATCACAGAATATTACACATCAGTTAATTTTCAGAAATAGGTGGGCCTAGTGGTGTCAGGTTGTAATCTCTGCCACACAGGGGTTTGGAGGAGGATCACAAATTCAAGGTCTGCCTGCCCTGAATCCAAGGTCAGTCTGTCAACCTAGTGAGACTTTATCTCTAAGGGAACAGTAAAAAGAAGTCTAGGGATATAGCCGCCATAGCACTAACCTAGCATGTCTTGTGTCTTAGTAACACTGAACCCAGAGCCTTATAAATGGAGAACTTGTAGCTTTTATCACTGAGCTACATCCCAGTCCTGGTCTCATCTTTTTATTAGGAGCCCACATCTGTGACAACTGACATATTCTTGCAAGAGCAACTTTAACCCACCCACAAGGACAAACTTTTCACCTCTAAAAGGTGTCGTCTCTCAGCAACTTTAACCCACCCACAAGGACAAACTTTTCCCCTCTGAAAGGTGTCGTCTCTCCGCATGGTTGCAAGGGACCCCAGATTTCTAACACATGATTGTTGGGTATATGTTCAGACCATATCAGCCACTCTTCCCATTTAACAAGGCCCTGGGTAAGAACTTTATGGCGATGTTGTGTGTCTCACCATTTTCCTCTTTATATTTTCTTTAAGAAATCTGTACATCATGCCAGGTGTGGTGGCTCATCTTTAATCCCAGCACTTAGAAGGCAGAAGCAG